TTATCGAACTTTCTCATATTTGCATATGCTTAAGTTTGTTCTCGTTTCTTACATTTACGCGAAAAATTATCATTCTTTACCTTATATTTTTATTATCTAAGCCGATAGATAGAGATAGGTATGCTCGTTTCATACTCTTATGAGGGTAGCTGTAGTTGATAACACAAACACCCTAATTATTAATTTGAATATTTGTTGAAATATTGTTGGAAAAAAAATTGCCTTGACAGTATAATTTTCTACCTTCATTAGTTACATTGTCATAAAAACAAATTCTTTATATTTTTTTGGAATAACATTTTTCTTTGCTTCGAGAAATTTTGAATCTCTAAAGAATTATGTTGAGCAGAATATAATTGTTTTTAAACAGAATGGAACCTTGAAACTGTGGTAACAAAATCTAGACTTTTGTTGGCTACATTTTACGTTACTACTTCTTCGTTAATTAGTGTTATGGGACCAAGAGCTCTTTTCTTCGCATTGGAAATTTAAAGTACCACAGGGTACGAAAAACTCACTGGGGACGATTTATCTTTAAGGTACGAAACGAGAACAAAATTGGTCAAAACAGGTAATATTGTTTAAGGTACGAAACGAGAAGGTACGAAAGGAGAATATACGAAAGATTAAAATAGTAGAATAGCATAAAAGAACTTACCGACAGTCTATCTTTTGCGTGAATATATCTAAACCTTTGCACGTAGTAAAACACTAGCCATGCTAAGGAAATTATCATTAATACTATGAATGTAATGGACACGAACAAAACCGATGTCCTGCAAGAAAAAAAAACAACAAAATGTAAGTGATTCAGATTAAAGTTAATGCGACATTAGTTTGATTGTTAAATTGTGTTATTTTAATAAACCACAAATTAACTGTAACCATGCCGAGTTTGATGGAATATATTGTATTAATTGTATGACATAAATGTTACAATAAACTAACGAAACGTTACAGAATTGATAAATTGACATTTTGCAATTTATTAGTCTTTATACTGGTAATTTGTGGTTTAATACGCCATTGTTTCAATGAATTCTCTAACTTTTATGTGCACAAATTCGTTAAAATTTGCAAAACGCTACTATGTTTTAAACTAATATTACTAATGACATTAGTATGTATGGTCCTTGCATAATACCTTGGCGGTAATTATTTAGGAACATTAATGCTCGTTATAAATTATAAGAACGAATAGCAAATGGACCTTTTTCTGGTAGTAACGCGAGATACAAGACCAAACATCTTGGCAACAAAAACGATACAATTTGAACATTAGTAATATCATTCTATCTGTTTAGTTTATTGTCTCTCATTACCTTCTTTTGATAATGTTGTCGGCGATAGAAACTCATAATGCAAATTCTATATTAATACATTTAAACACATCATTACTATTTCTTAAGAAACTTCACAGTCGTTTAAAATAGATATCCGAAACACTAGAAGAGGAATTAGTGTAAGCAAATACTTAATGATATTATTATAGATATAATGGCTCCAGTCTAGCGTTAGTCTGGAATATATCTACACTGTTGTATATAGCTGATAAAAGACGCGAAGGTCAATTATTTCGTTTACAATTTGAACATTTTCAATAGGAAAGATTTGTAGGTAATTGTTTATAATATTTGGTGTCTTATTTTCATTATGCGCATACACACTTTATAAATTCGTCTGAAATATTGAATATTGAATATTGAAGATTGTCTTGTCACAATGAAGTTGACTCAACTGACGAAATTATGTTTTTTTGTGGAAATTCCTTGGAATTTTTAAGAAAATTAATCAAATTTTGTAATAACATATTATACTTAAATCATTTATTAATTTTTAAAGCATCAAACTAATGTTTAACTGATAAAAAGAAGAAAACCTTGAAGGAATACCTTTATTTAAACCAATTATTCTTATTAGTTACTTTCCTCATTTTTCCAGAAAACCCCGAAGCATTTGTAGTTATTAAGGATAATATACATCTATGAATAAGTATTTCCACTACTAAAATTAATCGAATAAAAACTTTGTAATTTCGTCCATTTTTTAAGGAAACGTTAAATGATTAGAATACCAAATTTCGGTATTCCAAATTGGGAAAAATTAAGAAAATTAAATTTTCCATACATCTTTTCACAAGTTTACGACGACAAAAATATGAAAATAAATGTGGCAGGAACAAAGCAGGCACTTACTGATAATATGAGTAATTGAACTTTAATATCTTTTGAAATAAGTG